CCTCGGAGAACAGGGTGGAGGGAGGAAAGAAGAGAGAGGAGGGAGGAAAGAGAGAGAGAGAGAGAGAGAGAGAGGGGGGGGGAGTTAGGGGGAGAGAGAGGAAGAGAGGGTAGAGGCAGTGGGAAGGGGAGAGGGCCTCCGGCGTGCTGGCGTGGCCTACTTCTGACTGTACCCCCAGCATTGTCACCAGCCAGCGCGCGCACGCGCACACACACGCACACACACACACACTCACGGTGTCAGGTAAACACAGAAGGTGGCGCCAGGCCCAAGCTCACCTGTGTGTCTGTGTGTGTGTTTTTGTGTGTGCCTTGTGTGTGTGCTGGTCATCTCAGGAGGACGCCACCGTCACACGAAGCCGAGGTCCTCAGGGGGGGGGGGAGGAAGGAGGAAGGGTCCAGGCAATCGTCAAACAGTGTTCCCATGGGGAAGGGTTGGCCTCCATCATCAATGCCTACTACCGATGAGTCATTCCGCACTGGCACCAAGGCGAGGGGCGGCCCGGCCCGGCCGCCGGCAGAGGCACAGACCGTGACGGGGCACACCACACCACCCCCTGCTCGTCAACATGCTCCGCGGCGGCCTGGGGGTGCCAGACCACGTCGCCCCCCGAGGGTGAGCAAGGGGAGCAAGGGTCAAAGGGGGTGAGGGCGGCGCGCGGGAGAGAGGGGTGGAGCTTAACCACTCTCCCGCTACGCCCCGCGTCGCACTTATCGCAAATCTCTTAATTTCTTCTCTCCTCTGCTGCAGAGGCCAGCCTTTTGAAGGTCCCCACCCCTCCTCCTCCTCCTCCTCCTCCCCCTCCTGCCCCCTCCAGCCTCGGCCATATCGACCAGGGTCTGCTCGTTGGCCTTAGGCCAGCGAGTGTAAGGCGAGCCTTGGGGGTGCTTTTGTTTAGGTAAGGAAGGACCCGAGGTCCGGGCTCTATCTCGCACTCTCATCGACCTCCTCCTCCTCCTCCTTCCCTAGTTTGCGCTCACTTGCTCGCTCCATCTCACCCACCCTTGATCGCGCGCTCCCTCGCTCGCTCTTGATCGCTCGCTCGCCCTGTCTCACTCTCGCTTTCGATCTGGCCTGGCCGGGCCGTGCAAGTGAGGAGTCGACCTTGACACACATCCCTTCCACGAATTTGTTTTCCTTTCTTTTTGTCTCTTGCGTGGGCGAGCGCGGCACTTTCCGTCGTCGCGTTTCTAATTTGTTGTCCGCCTGCAAATGGCATTGCGGGGAGGAAAACAGCACCGCGCGAAACTTAAAACTCGAAGACATAATTTTTATGATGAAGGCGGCGGCACCGCGACACCCACCCCGCC